TCTGTATTTCTCTTTTTTTTTTATTCTTTTGCGTAAAACTAAAATTCATGCCAATATTTTTCCATGATTTATAATAATTGGAGTAATGCAAATGCATATTTTCTAAAAAAAGTCATTTTTTGTGAAATTTTGCCGGGAATGGGGCTTTAAGTGGCAATTACCCACCAAATTTCACGATCATTTGAATGGTTTAGAAATTTCCCTATTCATCCAAAATTAAAAAGTAGCCATTAAATCCCTATTCACCCAATGCTAAAATTTACCAATTTCATGTTAATTTTTAACATTGGGTGAATAGGGGATATTTTTAGTAATCTTCCATCTGATCTTCATAAAATTTATAGGGCTGTTACCACGTATAAAATAAACACAAACACAAAAAATTTCAAGTATTGGTTAAGAATTTGCGAAATTATTGCCAAATTTCAATTGCTATAAAAGATTGACTTTGCCTATAATTTGCTTGAATTTTCCTATATTCTATTTGTAGTGTATAAATATTATTTTTTTCTCTTGTATTGTACCCATATTTACCTACATGTATTTAACTGGGTGATTCTAATTTACAGCTGCATTGGAAGTCGATCGCTCTGCTGTGTCTCCAAATGACACACTGAGTGTGTACATGGAACTTTTATTTTGTTCACAGAATGAAGAGCTCATAGTCTGCTGTGAGTCTATATGCGCACAGTGAGTATTTTTACCGTTTTCATCAATGATGCATTTTTTTGTCTTAGACACTGTCATATATAAACTGCATTCTGATGGGCTTATGAAACCTAACATTCGATTTTATTCTATTCTTGTTTTCGATTCGATGACACAGACGCGAAAATCGTCACCATGCACTCAGTTTTAAAGACAGAGATCTATCCTTTGCATACAAAATACATGTGTTTATGATGCATTTATTTTGTTCCCGAACGATATCTCTTTATCTTTGAAATTTAGCACATGGTGATGATTTCTTTATATAGGCCCCTACAAAATAACCGGTTTCATTCCATTTTCGGTTTGATATGGCAGATGCATTGGGGTGCATATATCATCGTTGTGCCTTCAATGTAGAGCTAAGATTTTGAAGCAAAATGCACCATATACTGTACTCATGCATAGTATCTCCAAATCATCTCATCTCACTGCTTTAAATTTGAGCGAATAGTTTGCATCACCTTGCAGTATTTCGTTCCCAACCAAACTAAACTGAATCAAATGTTGGGTATAATATGCCCCGCACTGTGGAATAATTTACATCTCGGACATTTTCCTTCTAATAAAAATAAAATGCAAATGCTGTATATGTGTATGAAAATATCATGAAAAAATTGCAGAGCCCACTAATTTTTCATGAGTTTTTCATAAAATATTTTAATATTTGCTGGAGAAATTCGCCCAGGACAACATTTAATGAACAAATCCATGAGAAACTGGTTCTGACATTATTATATCTATATTATAGTTCATTGTAGTTGTTATAATCATTTTATTAATATAGTTATATTATAGTATATTATAGTTATTATAATTATAGTTTATTATTGGAAGGTTTAAGAGTCTCCTAAATACTTTCCATATTTTTATTAACTATTATTCATGTTCTTTATGTCGTAATATTATTTTATTTTTAGGGGAGTAGCTGTAGAAATTAATCCTCTGGATCCAACAACTCTTGAAAACTATCAGCTTAGGAATAAACCCAGAATCAGCTTCTATCCATCAAGTATGTACATGCACTCAGTTTAACCGGATTTCCTAAGGCTTTGGACTCGGCAGCAGTGGCGGCGCCAACGGGGTGGAGGGGGCCTAATCCCCACACCGGACAGGTCAAGCACCCCCGCCGGACAGAGCTCGTCGGGCAGTCAGACTATAAAGTATAGGCCTATAAAAATAGGCCCACACCAAGCCAGCACATGTTTGTCACAGTCTGAGACTGCCATTTCGGCCATCTAGAGTTTGATATTCTTTTTTAAAAAAAATCTCATTTGGGAGGGGGATCCCCCTCTCAACCCCTTCTGCCAGCTCGAGCCTACGAGCTCAAACCCCCTTGTCGGACAACTTAGCCCCCCCCCCCAGAAAATATATCCTAGAGCCGCCACTGCTCTGCAATTCACTCTTTGTTACTTAGGACTGTTTCAGAAATACTCTTACGTGTTATGAGCATCCCTCCACCTCCTGGACAAGTTGTGGTGTAAATACCACCTCCCCCGGAAACATCTTGCGCAAAATACCCCACCCTCAAATATATTCCCACTTCAGGACATAAAATTACAGGCAACCTCAATTCCCACCCCAGGCAAAAACGGCTGTCCTCCACCCCACCTCCCACCCCAAGGAAAGTGTTTGGAACAGCACTTAAATAATTGAAAATTTTTCAGGTTCAAAAATTGACCTTTCAATTCTTCCAATAATTATGCCTCGAATCGTTTTTAAAAAGTTGCTATTCAAAATCTGAAATTTTGTATTTTCTGTACGACCACATCCTTCTCATTTTGTGTCTTGCGCATTTGGTTGACAATTGTACTAGCGTATTTTCCCAAGAATGTTTTTTCTTCCCTTCCCCCACCCTCTGGCATAAAGAAAATTAAAAATTCTAGACCTACCTTTTCAGGACCCGTGAGCTGAATTCTTTTGTTGTTACAATGCGAAAATTACTCGAGATTAATTGAATCGTTTTTAAGAGAGAAAAACCTAAACTTTTAATGACTTAAAACTCAGTAAAAGACACCTCAGAGATCGGAAAAGTTCGTTTCCCGCCATCTAGGAATCGAAATTTTCTCGACTCCCCGTTTTGTTTGGTGTTTATCCATTAATGGAAAAAAGAATGCGTATACATCTACTCATTTTTTTTATGTATACACACATAGGCCTATTTACTGTAATAAGAATGAGAACGTTTACCATACCGTTTTCAAAAGGAGAAAACCTTTTTTAATGAAATCATCAAAAGGCACCTCAGAAGTCGGGAAAGCTCATTTCTCGATGTGTAGGAGTCAAAGTTTTCCCGGGGAGGACCTCGACCCCCGTTCTTTTTAGTGTTCATCGATTCATGGAAAAAGGAATACGTATGCAACTACTATTTTTTTCTGTATGTATACCCGTAGGCCTACACACATAATAGACCTATTTACTGAATTAAGAATGAGAAAAATTTACCTGACCGTTTTCTAGGTGATAAAACCTTGATTTTTTAGAAGAACTAAAAAGTCATTAAAAGACAGCCAGAAGTATGGGAAAGCTCATTTCCCACCATCTAAGAATCAAAATTTTCCCGGGGGAGGACCCACAGACATCTATTCTTATTGGGTTTTTAGAAAACATTCTGACTCTATCCTACATTTGAACCCAAATCCGCCCCTGAGCACATCATCATTATCATTATCGACACCATTATCATCATCATCATAACCACCATTATCATCATCTTTATCACCACCATCATCACTTTCACCACCATCATCATCACATGAGGAAACGCTCCTCTTTATCAAGATTGCAAGTTTTATACCAAGCTTTGCCAACCAAGTACGTAATTACAGCTTTAATGGATGTTAAAACAACAAATTAGATTTTTTTTTCTGCTAGAAATCAATCTTACAAATACAGTAGGTCTACTCTAATACTACGGTACCTGTACAAAAAGTAATGTAATTGATTAATTAATTAAGTCACAAGGGGTCGCTTGGGAATGGGGATTCACTAAAAAGGGGGAAACCCTGGTAAGCATATTTATTCATTAATATCTTTAACCAGGATGACATAATCATTCTAACCAAACGTTTTTCATTGTAGTACTACGGTGGCTGATTTCCGCCAAACAGCAAAAAAAAATTTTTTTATTAGGGCGTTATAACGCCCTATTACGGCGTTATAACGCCCTATTACTGCGTTATAACGCCCTATTACGGCGTTATAACGCCCTATTTAGGGCGTTATAACGCCCTAATGTGAAGTATATTTTGGTAGTCGTTTTGACGGCTGAATTGGGCATGCTTTACTTTTTAATATAACTATATTACGCCCTAATAAATTTTTTTTTGTTGCTGTTTGGCGGAAATCAGCCACCATAGTGGTCCTTAAAAAACGAAAAAAAAACCCCAAAAAAACCATCCCGTTTGCATTGCAAAGTCGGGTTGGCTGGTAAAGGAGATAGTTACAGCATATATATATATATATATATATATATCTGTGGAAAGTTTGCCCTCATGCTTCTGGACTTGCAGAACAACTGGATCCACTGGCTACGCATGGACATGGACGGGCTGGATGTCAGTAGCGGACGGACTGTGGTGTCTTACTTCTGCCCCGCTGTGGGTCCCATTACCTTCATGCTGCTCCTGTACCGTCAGGATATCGCATACGACGGGAACCTCTGCACCATCGCCGGCAACAAACGCACAAGCACAAAGCCAATTAAGGACTTTTGTTCTGATCAATGCAGGTAAGAACCAATATTCACCAGATTATCTCCCTGTTCAGGATGTACCCACTGCAAGGACACACCTCAATACGCTTGTCTATAATACCCAACCCCCCCCCCCCCCCCCCCCCCCCCACAACAACCCCCTCCCCCCCCCCGCAAAAAAAGTTATTTGTTACTTCCCACTCACACTGAGGACATTCTCTGTAAACATTTGAGTCTCTAATGCGTGATGGTAGGCAAAATGGGTTTGGATGGTTTGGGGTGGGGAAGAAGTTATATGTTCAAAGATTGCCAAAAACCGGGCAATTGACCGAACACACTAAACGACAGATGGAATGATGGAACGACTAACGGATGGACTGATAGATAGACAGACAGACAGGTGGACTGACAGACCATGAACAACATACTGAACAAATACATTTTTGCTTACTTTTAATGATTGAAAAACACCACAGCTGATTAACTTCCCCTTTTTTCATGCTACGGGTCCAAATTATGCCAAAAAGCATAATTATTCTACGAATAGCCAGTGTAGTGTAGGACAACATACCTTTTGCATACCTTTGTTTTTGTTATTGTGGGCCAATTAATTCAGTGTAAATTTATATAGGGCGTTATATTAAAATATATAATATACACAGATTTATTTGTCTTTTGGGGCCAATGATCCTCTGTCTCATAAGGAACGTTATGTTAAAGTAGTGTGTACTTTTATCTTTCTAGGTGTATTTTGGGTGATGACCCTAGCGCCTTGACTGACTTGTATGACATGACGTTAGTGGGCGTCACCTGGTTCAACCTTGCCGAGGAGCTATCAACTAACTTCCACCTCATGCTCCGGTATGATGGGCTCACCCTGCCTTGGGACTCGGGCGCCGCATGTGCTAGCCAGCTGACTAACGGGACATGTCCAGTTCCGTCCACCGTCGATCCTCTCTGCGACTTCGCTAAACTAGACTTAGAGGAGTGCAAGGAGTGCGTTGACGAATTGATCGACTCCGGGGCCATGGGGCACTCACTTCATCTGGGATGGTACATGGTTATACTATGTGCCACCATTTTGACCGCAATTTTTGGTCATATCATGTAGATTTTTGACCACCTATTTCCTTGCACCATTTTCTGAACTTTTGACCCTTCATTCAATCCACTCCTCAAAATTTTAAACCCCAAAATTTGTTTTGCTGTAGAAATTTAACCTCTGGATTCATTTGAATTTCGAGTTTTTACCTGGTCCTCAATTTTATTTTCAGAATTTGGTGTAGAGTTTGTGCCACTATGTTTTAAAGTTCATGGGACACATCAGTAAAAGTTCTCAGGTCATCCCCCCCACCTCCTTCCTCCAGGGTTCATTTTCAAATTTGAAGGGCAATGTAGTTTCTAAGAGGGAAAAAATAAGGGCAATTGTTTCACTCTGAAATGATGATAAGCAATAGGGACACTCTTCTTTTGATTGATCAGAATGACTTTAATTCAGACCAGTGAGCATTTAAAGACCCATCCTTGGCTCAAGAATTGCAATGGCCATCACATCATGGAGGTAGATCATCCACCTAATGAACTCTGATGATGACTTTGACCTTGAGACTCCTCAACATAGGAGAAAATATGTGTACAATGACAAAATAAAGATTTGGGTCAAACAATGATAATTATGTTATTTTTGTTCATAGTTGTGGCAAAAGTCTGTACCTCCTTCCCCTTCAGAATCTTTTGACTGAATACAAGAAACAAAAATTACTCTAAGTGGTCCTTTTCTACCAGTTTGCTACTTCACTCGGACCGTTTCGGATTGGGAACGACTTCGCCGTTGTCTTGAACGCTACTGAAACGTTGATACCAGCGGTGGCACCAGAAAATTGCCGACAAGGGGTCCGATGTGTCCGAAGGAGGGGTCCAAACCAAGGCGACGACGAAGCCTCGGTCGGTTTTATGGCTTAATTTGGTCCCAAAATTGCTTTTAGACCACAATATTAAGGATTAATTGATTAAGGCAATCAAAACAGCGTATACTAATATATGGATAGGCAAATTATTATTTGTGTTTATTTTTTGTCTGATGACCTAGTCGTTCGTCGGACGACAGGGAGTACAGACCTGTCCGACGGGTGGGCAAATTCCCCCTGTTCCCCCACCTGCTGGCGCCACCATGCTCCAGGGCCCCTTAAATTTTATAAAGCGCATAAATAAAATAATGTGGATTGATAGTACCGGTGTTTATCTTTATGTAATAGTGCACATTATGACTAGGCCCCTGTCTGTTGTAAAAATTGTCATTCGAACACTAAATAGAAATCACAGTGAAAGAGGGGTGGTTTTGATAGTACTGGTATTTATCTTTATGTAATAGTGCACATTATGACTAGGCCCCTGCCTGTTGTAAAAATTGTCACTCGAACACTAAATAGAAATCACAGTGAAAGAAGAGCGTCGATCCGTGGTTGAAAGTGGGGGTGGGGAGGGGACGAAATGAAAAATAAAGTCTTGGGCCGTAGGTCTTGGTTGGGTACCAGGGGCGAAGCCCCCGAGAATCTCTGGTGCCTATAGCCTTTAATTGATTTTAAGCAATGCAATTAACATTTATTTCCATACGAATTTTTTCAAAAAATCCAGTGGCGGATACAGTAATTTGAAATAGAGCTGAGCCCAGAGACTTTTACAGAGCCTAGGAAGGTTAGGCTTAACTGCTGTAGGCCTATCCCCTGCTGCCGCTGGGCTACAAGAAGTTTTCTTAGTTTATATGAAAGAATATTTCATTATTTTTGTAATAATGGAATTAACAAAACTTCATATTAACACAATTGTTGGAACAAGAATCTTATTAATTAAAATGTGTGTTAGAGTAAATCGGCTCCTACTAGGCCTAACTATAGCTAGTTAATCAATACCGCAACAACGTACCGTAATAGCCTTATTATTGTAATTATGAAATTGATAAATTATAAGTGTAAGTTCGGTACATTTGACTTTTTACTTCTGAGAACAAGATTTCAATATCTGACTAGGCCTACATACTGTACCAAAAACACACTAGGCCTAAATTATGTTAAAATCAATTGTAAAATTTCTGAAACGATAAAAAGCGTGAAAAACTTCAATAACATTCATTACACTGTTACTAAAAAGACTACAAAAATCATTATGAGAGCATTAGGTCCTATGTATATTCCAGCACCTTTAAAAAGACAAAACCAATACTAAGTCTGAAACCGTCGTGTCTGAAACATCTAGAAAATAAACGCACAAATAATTTTAATAGCGCCCTCTCAATAGAAATGTAATTAGTTTCGATTTCCCGCGCGCTCAATTTATTATTCGTAGGTAAGTTTGGTAAAATCTCATTAATTGTTCATAACTCCACTTATAGACTATACTGTATTTTGTGCGTGCGCTACGTTCAAGTCTGTTTCAGCCCATGGTCATCCTGATATCAGGTGCTCTGTACATACTATTTAGTAATGGTAATCATAATTTCTCGTTCTAGGCCTAATTGGGTTAATACAAAAAAAAATTGCTTTTACTCTATTACGTAATTTAATTAAAGAATCTTGTATAATAAACATAGAAAACTTGTGTTTTTGGCAAAGTAACTGAAATATGAGTGGCTTTCATGTTTTATCACAATATATCTGGATAATATTCAGAAATATATTTTGTTAAAACAAATAATTATGTAATAGTAATTTATTCATAATTGCCGATCGTATCCATCTGTTCATCTGTCTAAACGATATTCATCCCTGTAACATAATTTTAAGAGAATACTAATATCAATCAATTTGTCATAGAAAAAAATCACTTGCAGTATGCGAAAGACTGGTGTTTCTCCATTTTAATAGGCCTATTGTAATTAAATTTGAATAAGTTGCGATTTCAGGGAGGCGGAAGCGGCTGACAGGTTGGCGTCAGTCTGACCTATACTTGTGCTGTGATAAATATTATAGGCCTAGACTAGAATATTAGTGATTATGAGTTCAAGCAATTGTGTAATTTGTCTTGATATACAATTTAAGACCTTTACAGTTGGTTACAAAATGAAAGGATGACAACTAAAACCGAAATATTCATTAAAATTCCACCATTAATCATTATTTTTTTAATTTTAAACAATGCTTTATATATATAAAGTAATGAGAGGTTGATGAATGTGATATAAATAGACTGATTAATCACAACTCTGGTGCAACGATAAACCTGCACGCAGTGTCCTTGGTACAGGTTGTCGTCTCTTATGTGTATAAAAGTTATCGCTACCGGAATCGCTGCTTAACGAACATACGGTTACGTCCGTACATTTTACAGATTTCGTTCCTCCTCGAATTTCATATTCAAAGCGGATTATACAAAAAGGAGTTACTATCGTCGGTCTCGGCCTACCGTCAAAACGGTCACGGTGGTTAACATCATTTCAACACTAGATAACAGATTCATAACAGATGTGATTTGACTTTAATAAGCGGCGAGAAATTCTTATAATAGATGGATATTGTCCGGGTTGCCCTTGACCGGTTCTAGATGGAGACTGCTTGCAAGTTTGTGGTTTGACACAACTATCGATGGGGCCGAAAATTAGTCGATTCGGAACCCACAAACCATCTCTTGCACATTTTGTGAAAATTTTAGTATCACAATATTACAATAATTACATTTATACATATAGGCTCATGGGTGTATGCAAGGGGGTGGGGGTCGGGAGAGTCGTACGACCCCACCACCCAATTTAAAAAAAAATAAATTTTACTGTATAAAAATGTCATTTCCGGCCATCTAAAGGCACTATTTTCTCACGACGGTCACAACCATTTGATACATCAAAGAGAATGTTTTATGTGTAGGCCTGCATTACACATACTAATTAGGTCTCTGTGGTTTCCGAAAATCGCTGATACTTTTAACTATATAATGGTGATGTGATGATGAATTTTACTATATAAAAGTGTCATTTCCGGCCATCATAGGTACTATTTCCTTAAATTTTTGCGCGCACCCCCACAGCCAAATCCTGCATCCACCCCAGTCATCTATCTCAGTTCCAGAACTTCAAAAACTGAGCCTGCCATCCGCTTGAAGCTGGTGGCACTGTAATCGATTTTCCTGTCTCCCTGTCTCCCTCTGAAAGGTCCAAAAATTATGATCACGACCTACCCAGAAAAAATCCTGGATACACCCCAGAGGCTTGGCCTATCATTGCACGGGATGCCATCATCGCAGCATCGGCATCACCATCAATACCACCATTATCAGCATTGCTATCATCATCATCATCAATCATCACCCTCACGATGATATTTTCTAGTTTTTTTTTTGTTTATTTTTGTTCTTTTAAATTTATTTTCCACTTTTGGAGAGTCACTTGATAGTTGATTCAATTCACTTTTTGACAATCCCGTCTTCCTCCTAAAGTGTCTGTTCTTTGTTATCATGTTTGTGTCAAAGACGAAATAAATGAAATGAAATGATAATGATGTTATTACCGTTAAGATTTTCCATTCTGAAATTGGCGGACTTCCCTCTGTTGGATGCAAATCGAAATAAAAGCTAGATAAGATCAGATAAGATAAACTTTATTGTCCAATCAAATATGTGGAAATTCATGGCCATTTGGCGTAAAAATACAAAAAAAAACCATAAATTACATCGATTTAAATTGCACTATATAAATCTAAAATTGTTATCAAAAGAATACAATACAATAAGAGAAATACAAGAAATGTCTCCAACACCATCTTCATCATAGTCGTCATCATCATCATCATTAATCACCATGCAGCATGACGATGATATTTCATATTGGTTCTAGGACTATTTGCCGAATGCCAGTTTGCCGACGAACGTTTTGTCCGACAGACAGTTGACCGAAAGAACATTCACCGACAGCTTATTCGGCGACAACCAATTCGCCGACAGACATTCCGCCGACATTTTTTTTTCTTTTGGTGATGCTGTTATTAGGCCTAATGTTTCTTCGACAGTTGTTTTGTGGAGGACTGGTTCATCATGGAAAATCGTTATTTATACTTATACATAGGCTACATGCAGACAACAATTTTAATATATAAATCATGCAATCTAAGATATTAAATATTAAATAGAGGCCTATAATAAACACATGTTTATCTTTATTTTTCATTAAATATTTTAGTACTATAGAAAATCATAGAGACTGAAATAATTAACACATATTTTAAATTGGTAGAAATTGAGATGAAAATAAAGACAAGATACAAGATACAATGTGACTTTACTGTAAATGTAAGGAAATATCATTAAAATGTACAATAGGCCTATACTTTAAAGTAATTGTATTAAAAAATGTTTAAAATACACCAGAATAAAAAGTATTACAAATATACTGTACAGTTAAAATATAGTGGTAGCACATTAAATATTAATTGATCGGTATCTTTTTTTCATTCACACATAAAATTGGAAGGACAATTTGAAGGTACGGTACAAATTAGGCAAATCAATATATTAAATCGGTATACAATTATTCAATAATTGAGGAATTAAATAAGTTAGCTATAACCCTATACAAATTGAATAATAAATAATATGACCAATTGATTAATTTACTGTTTAAAATATATAATTAGATACAGAAAATGACAAATTAAAGAATAATAAGGAAATATGCATAAAAATACAATTAAGAAAATAATTATTCGAAATAATAATTAGGCCTAGGCCTATGTAACAAAATAGCACAATTAGCCTAACTTGTTCACAAAAAATATCGGCGAATTGTCTGGCGGCAAATTGTCGGCAAATCGGCTGCCGGCGAAACGTCCTATCAGCTAACTGGCATTCGGCGAAATGTGGTGTCGACAAGATCACGTGTCGGCGAATGGTATTTCGGTCATAATCAGTCGGCCAAATGTTTGTCTGCCAAACGTCTGTAACAGGGAGACGTTCGGCCACAGACCAGGGGGTCCTCTGTCATCTAATAATCCTCATCATTTTCAAAATCAGTTGTTCCTCGCTGTTTCTGTTCTTGTGAAATTTTTATAGAGAAATAAATGAAATTAAATTTTATAAATATCGCCATTTTTTATAATAATAATAATAATAATAATAATAATAATAATAATAATAATAATAATAATAATAATAATAAAAATAATAATAATAATAATAATAATAAAAATAAAAATAATGAATAATAATAATAATAATAATAATTTGCAAGCTCTATTTGGTTTACTAAAAAATGTATTAATTGTTTGTCATATTTGTCATCACTATCATTGTCTTCCAACTAAGAAATTAAATTAAAGTATTGTCGGGGATAATTAATATAATTTTTTAATTAAAAAATAAATAAATCTTCTGTCGTTGATATGTGTATTTGGTAGATATCATAATTATTTTCTTAGATTATCCAGGTGATAAAATATATCAAATTATTAAAAAGTATACCTGCAACATTTGCACGGCCTGTGTAACAGTTTGAACATGCAACTTAATTGATGAGAATCCTTATATGCAAATTAATGATTCATTGGCGCTCTTGAACGATTTGTCCTTGCAAGACAGTTTTGAGCCGATGAAGGGCCTGCATGAAGCATTGGATTTCATTTTCCCCCTCCCGTGCCGGGTCAGACACTCAATATAATCAATCGTCTGTTTGGCAAAAGTAGGGAGGCCTTACGGTATAGTATACCAATACAAGTATACCACTTATAAAGTTTCTCCCCGGGTTACCTTGTGCAATATTTTTTTTCTGTGCTGTAATTTGTTGAAGTACTGTAGTTTTAAAATGAATTTTAAATGTTATTTAGCCTTTATATGTATTTTATTTAAAAAGATTAATTTAGAATTTTTGTGCAATAAACAAATAGTTTTTTTTTTGTATTGTAATTTTTTTTAAATAATTGATGTAAATTTTAAATATAGCCCTACTATAATAATTTTATAATTTATAACTATTTTGTATTGTTCATCATTGTTTACGTGACGCTATTATTTGAATAAATGAAAATTAATAGTGTTACACAGAGGCCTCACGATCATTGTAAATCAATGTCCCAATTCAGTTACATACTTTTCTATTTTTTTGCGATGAATTTTTTTTTTAATGTTTAATAAAGATACCAGGATATATAAAGGTATTAATTTAATCAACTTTTAAAGGAAACAAATCAATTATTGCATTGCTGAAGTGCTTATCTCAGCAATCGTGTCGTGTTCAAGTTTATCCAAGGTCGAGCACTTTTGAAGAATAAGGTTAACTAAGTTGCTTAGCATTTTATCACAGATAAGTAACCATTAACAATTTAAAAGAAAAAATTACTCGCTAATATAATTAAATATCTTTAAATTTCTAGGGAATAGGCCTATTATTTAATAATATTGTTTACTAATTTATTATTTCATACCGTTGCCTGCCGTTGTATAGGCAGTTTTTAATCATTTAAAGATTTTCGTATTGCAAAGTTTGTAAATCAACAACACAAAGTGAATTGTTTCCGAAATGTCCACTGATTAATCTCAGATAATGATGTCATCATCATTCCTGATGATGACATCATTAATTTCGAAATATTGAATCCCGACACGATGGCGTGCATTTCGATACTTGTAGTATGTATTATACTGAATTGTTTCGATTTGTAATCAATCGGGGCATGCGCCTATTTGATATTTGCTGTAGGGAGATATGGAACAACTCCGCCCACCTACAAAATATTGGCTCTACTTTCTGTATCAGAAATTTATTTGTTTCGATGAGCAGTGTCATTGCAAAACTGACGTTTATTTAAAAATGCATATTTGCGGGTGGGGGTACCATTGATGCATAGAGTCACACGACATCTGTGAGAATTAAATTTATATCAATAAGCATTCGGTTCAATCTCTCCTCGTCATCCTGTGACGGAAATTAGCAACGACGATCGTCTGCGTCTTCTACTTTAATTTAACGACCGGAACCCTTAAGGGGTATCAATTTTCAAGTGTTTGAACTCAAAAAAGTAAAAATTAATATTTCAATTGTTTACATAGGCATGTTACTAATACTGCCCTCCAATTATAGACCACTAGGCATATTGGGCCCGGGCTTTCTGGTCTTTCACAGCTTTGGTAACTTGTATAGGCCTCACTAAGTTCCTGCTTATCTTCTACTTATTGTATATTGAGAACTAACAATTTTAATAAAAAATTCAAAGCCATATTTAGGTTAGGCCTATTTGTTGCTCATACGGTTTCGTTTTGGGTGTCAGTATTATTAGGGCTTCGCCTTCTATTGGATAACCAACTGAGGATCGGCAGATTAATATTGTTTGAAGTCCAACCACGGAAACACTATTTTATGGTCCGACAACCTTAGGGCGTCGGATCGGATATGACGGGTGTGGTGACGTCCATGTGAGATCTGAGGGAACATTTCCCAGACTCCGTTGGCGCTGCCACTCTGTAGGCCTGTGATAACTAACTTTTAATACTTAATTCGGAAATTCATTAAATATATTGTCTATATTGATAATAATGACCTTTTCACAGAATACCAGTTGAATTAATCAAATAAAAAAATAATTTATATTTAATTAAATGTTGATGATACTCTTTGATGTACCGACACTGCACTTGAGTGGTGCCATGGCATTGAGACATAGGGTCAGAGTTCATAAACTATTTATTGTGTGTGCACGCGCAATGTGATGAGGATTTGAGGATGTGTTACAGATAGGCTAGAGAAGTCAGAGAGGTATGCTGTACACTTTCCCGGGAAAAGGCATTAGGAATATGAATTGCAGAATTAATACTGGCAAACAGCCATAAATTATGGATATATGCTCTCATCTTCCAACCTAAGGGACGTTTAATGTTTGGATTTTCATGCGATCTGCGTCGTAAATCGAGGGTTATGTTAGGCCTCTTGCCTTGCCCGTCACACAGTGTTTACAGTAATTTTTGAACAGGCGAACGGGAGTTGTAAGAGGGTCGTGTGGCCTAGCAGACTAGGCCTACTTCCGTGTTTTAATGTGTTTGGTCTAGTTTCGATAGGAACTCAATGCTGGCAATGGCGGGAATGATACGGGGCATGGTCAGCAAAAACAAGCAACGATTCAAGGAAGGACAGTTTGATTTGGATTTAACATGTATCCTTTTTTTTTACTCTCTAGGCCTAGCCTATAGCCTATCCTAATTCCATAATTTTGTTTCTTGAACTTGATTTGATGAAGTGGTAAAACTATAGGCTAGGGCTAGCCTAGGCCCCTCCTGCAGTAGGTAGGCCTCATCTTCATGTGGGCCTAGGCCTAGTTAACATGTCTAGCTTTAGTAAATAGTAATTTAGGTACCTGACAAGAAAATTAAAACTTAATGAAACAGATTGACTCTCACATCAGACAATATTTATTGGTATAAAAATAGTAAAAATCCATAAAAACCAATGATTTTCTATGATTTTAAAGGTTATTAATTTGATTAAAAATTCGGAGATTAGGTATTGTGAATGAAAGTCAGTTTGAACAAATGCTAGATTAGATGTCAGATCGAGCGGATGCATTTTTAATACTGCGAACTACAGTTCTGTATAACAAGGGCATATTTATCGTCGCCCTATTCTTGTATTTGTGAGTGAAATAGTACTTTCGTTTCATTTGTTTTGAATACCAAAATGCTCAATGCACTAAAGTTCAGAAATGTATTTGGTACATTTGATAATTAATCCATGTTTGAATTACAGTCTTGGCAAATCCGACTACCAGATGGCCGCTAACAAGCACTTAGGCCTGTATTTTAAAACTATCAATACTAGGCATAGGCATTTAGCAGTTGCTTTCTGTTTTGGTAATTAAAAATTTGCCTAGGCCTGCCCTTTATTCAAGGCCTACCATCATGGTTTATTTTTTTTATAGATCACGGTATAAATTACATAATATACAGTACTGTACAAACTTCCATCACACAACAACGAGGACCGAGATGACGGAGTGTGTTGCGTTAAAATTTGTGAACTGTGTATTTTACCTGCAGTAGTTTGCATCAATAAATACACCAAGTGAACCAAGGCGAGGCCAGGCAATCTATTTCTACTACTACTGTATTAATTTGCTTATTAAATTTCTATTTTGACACTTAATAAATTCTATCAATCAATTTTCTTCTCTATGACATAGGCTAGACCCTCAAATTGTTTTCATGTTTCTCACTCTGTATGTTTGCTACAGTAGGCATTATCATCATCCAGCTAGCGGGGCATTTTACCAGGACTACAAAATATTTCCCGGCGGTATATGGTGGGGACTTAGCCGGAGATGTACATTATGTTAAAACGGTGCCCTGCATTGCTGGGAGGTGGCCGGGACTTTTACATGCACGTACAGTAACTGGTTCGTAAATTACATCCCCAGCTACAGTACAGTATATCCCCGCTAGGCTCGGGTGGGCTGGGACTAATTGACAAGTGCATTACGTCACATGCCATTAATACTGTAAGGCACAAAGCCTAGGCCTACAGTATCTGTGTTTGTCAGTCATCATAGTTTTCTGACATTATTTTATAGGACTTTTTCACAGTTTTTTTTTTTATGGCTGTATAACATCATAATTATGCACTTGATACAACTTCCATTTTGAATTCCACATATTGATACTACAGTAGTAGACCCTAGTACTCATACTTGTCTAGGCAAATGTGGTCAATGTTTGAAATTACTGCATACATTGGTTTAAATATTAAGATTAATTCAAAGCCTAAATTTTGGCAAAATTCCCTACACAGGCCTTGCTTTACAGTTTCGTACTAAAATTACAACCAAGACCGTCAACATTTTTGCACTACATTGGTTATGATGCATTATCAAAAAGAAATATCAGGGTTGTAGCTGAAGAAAACTAAGGGTGGGTGATATAGTAGACATTTTTGAGTGTAGGTACAGTGCATGATAACATTGGTAAACTCTAGATAAGGCCAAAAAAAAAAAAAATTGTTTGTTTGTCCTCCTCTTAAAAAAACTTAAAAAAAGGTTTTTTTTCCAGCTTTAAAAAAAAAAGAAAAGAAAATGTGAGTGAATTTATCTTTAGTTTTTGCCAGATGCCCTACAAATTAGTCTAAAGTTGTTGTCTGATGTAAGATATTGACATTCTAGGCCTCTGTGGGTTATTTTTATTCCATCTGATGAGTATTTAAAAAATAAAAAATTAAAAAAAAACTTTTTCCAGCCACCCCTATTTATCATTTTAAAGAAAGGAAGGGCAAACAAACAATTTATTTTATTTGGCTTAATAAAGAGTGGATTTTAAGGATGGAAAAGTAGGTTAATATTAAAGGGTAGGTGGAATGCCATGAAATTAAATTTAGACTACAGTAGGTGGAAATCTGTGTGGCCCCGCCCACCATAACTAGATCCCTATATCTACTTTGTGAGTATTTACCTGGATAAACCAAAAAATATATATGTACATAATTAACCCAGTTTTACAGTATTTTAGTGAGCGGTGTCTACTGTAAAGGGTTATTTAACAGGGGTGGGATGCATACTACACTGTATATTGTAGCCAAATCAAAACTTGTATCTTCCCAAGTCGGCTGAGATTGTTTGAAACTCAGATTTTAGCTGTAGAAATTGATATTAATCAGCATGGGTATGAAAGAACTGTTATAAATATCAATGATATTCAGTTAGTATAGCATTATCTAAAATTATACTATTTTCTTGACTTATTGAATGTTGATAGACTCTCATAATCCCATCTGATTAAGCACAAAAAACAAAAGTTTAAAAAAATGTCTAAAAGCATGCCTTTGAACTAACTTTGTTTCCATTTAAACTAAATCTGCAAAAAGTTTTTGTTGGCCAAAGTTAAAAAGATCTATCAAGGATTTGACCTTACTGCGGGAGTCCAAATTCAAGGATCATCTGTAAAGCCCCTCTCCCACTAGGATTTGTTTGAGCATACGAGTTAGAAGAGTTTGCCGAGTTCCTAACTTAGCAAACTCGGCATAAACTTGTAGGACGATTTGGGAAGCTCGGGGGAAAAATTGTACCTACTCTTAGCAGCTCTGAACTCAAGACGCTAATTTTGAACATGCTCAGAATTAGTGCTACAAGTTGACCACTCGTAGTAAACTGGAAGGACTCGTAGGTAATTCATAGAGTACTCGGTACTCCTACCTACTGTAACTCGTACACCACTCGGGGTACTTGTTGGCAGTTTTGTAATCCACGAGTTTGACGCAATCACCTTGAAACGAGTACAAGTTATGTACAAGCGTACTGAGTTGGTTACGATCACCAGGAACATTTGATCGGAATGCTCGTACCTAACTCATATCTAATTCAGTTCAAACTGGTTACACTCGTAATAATCTTGTAAAGTTTGTAGTAAAATCGGTACTTCACTCGGCGTAATTCATAAATAACTCGTAACCAACTCTGTAAGGTCGTACAGGTACCTTACTCGTAGCTAACATGTAGTACCTGTAAGCTCATATAGAGGTCCTTTTCCAAAGGAATTAAATCATGAGTTTTTAACTTGGAGAACTTGTGCGAATCTTGGATGAAATCAACCTAGGTGGGAAAGGGGCTATATGGTTGAAAATTTCAACTATAGAATTTCATATCAGAATTTTTTGTCGAAGTAAAGACCATAAAGAATAGTATGTAATATAATAATTTCAGATAAATGAATGCTTTTTACAATAATTTAAATTTTGAGATTTTTATTTAAGGTCATAATTAATGAGAATTATACAAAGCAAAAGTTGATCATTTTGGACCCTACTGTATGTATTAAATACCAATTTTATAAATCTCAGAAGACACATTCTACATCAAAAAGTATAATGAATTCTATTCAGTAGAGAGCTATAAAATTAGTTAATATAAAGAACATGTTGGCAAATTAGCCAAAAATCTTTTGTTGCCAAAGCACAGTGAAATTTATATAAATTACCTGTAGGTTTAGTATGTAGACAATATATTTTTTAGTGTACAGTACTGTAGGTCTACAGTACAATTCTAGGGTTTTATCACTTACTCCATTTCCTTTGCTTTTAAAATGATAAATCTACAGAACTATAATAAAAGCCTTAAAAATATTTTGTCTTCTTCGAAGAATATTTGCCAAGAACAAATAGATCCTAGGTTAGTAAGATTTTGGGTCTGTCTAGCTTGAATAACACAGTAAATTGATTTTACAGTATGTAGTATATTAATATTTATGAGTGTTCCTTTGCACAACTTTTTTTTCCACCATACTTATCCTTCAGTATAAGGTGTTTGAGTTTAAATTTTCATCACAACAAAATAACAAAAGGAATAATTGCGATTAAGTAAATAGTGTTCAAGTGCAATGTTGTAAACTCCCCATTATAGTATTAAAGTCATTCATTATTATTGTAGTCATAGTCCATTGCTTAAGCAGTTAACAACAAAGTCTAGTAATACAATATTAAGGATTTTTTCCAAAACATTCTTTGTTAGATAAGATGATCTAATTCTTGATTGTCACGACATCAATATTAAGCCATGCCATAGTGCAAATTACAAATTGTTTATTTATTCTGTACTTGGAATACAGTAACATAAAAACAAATAGTTTATATGAATAGACAAACCTAAAAAACACAAGTTAAAACATTTATTTAATAAATTCTATGAGCTAACAATTAATATGATAATAGTAATTAATAAAATTCAATATTTACATGGTTTATTTTATAAAATACTTAAGTACTGTACGTTTGCTTTCAATTGAAAATTATGTAGAACTTGATAAAGTGTTTCCTGAACAAAAACAGCTCGGTATATTTTTCTTTTGCTTTTGTACGGTCCACAAGATTTGGAATTTTATATGCATACATACATTAGTCCTACTTGATGCAAATCCTGGGAGAATCCAGTAAATTTGCGAAGACTGGTCTTCTCCCCCAACAAAACTACTTTGTTCATTTCTTTGTATTATGATAATTTATTATTAATATTATTATTTTTATAATATTATGATTTTTATTATTGGTTATTCCCAGAGTTGAAGGTTAGATGACCTCAAACAATTATTGGTGAAAGTGAAACAGTTACGTTTACCTAAGACGACTTTGCCTAATTTCTATTTTGATTTTATTTTACATGCCAAATTGTTGTGTTTTCTA